AAATAAGACGGAGATAAACAGACATTGTTGCCGTCTGTGGAGTGTTGATGGAATTCCACCAATTTTTCAAAATTCCGCCATAATTCGGTGTGTGAGATGTCTGAGCCCATGCAGTGATTTCCACTACAGAATCATGTCTGTTTTTAATGCAGTGCTGTCTGAGGGCCCAAAGATCACGGCCAGCAAATACTGGTTTTTGGCCTTGTCCCTCACATACAGAGATTTCTCCAGATTCTCTGACTCTTTTAATGTTATTATGTACCGTAGATGATGAAAAGCAGAGGTTCTTTGCAATTTTATATTGAGAAACGTTATTCTTGAATTGCTGCATTTTCCCACACAGAGTGGTGACTCAGCCTCTCTGGGATGCTCTTAATCAATTGACCTAACTATTTGTGAGATTTTCCACCAGGTGTTTTTTTTTTTTTAACATTTCACCACTTTACCAGTCTTTCGTTGCCCCCATCCCAACTTTTTTGAAACATATTGCTGGAATCAAATTCAAAATGGGCATAACATTTTTAAAAAAACTCAGTTTCACCATTGGATATGTTGTGTTTGCACTTTCAATTAAATATAGGGTTTAAATTATTAGCATATAATTTACATTTTATTTTGCACAACCTTTGCAACTTTCTTGGAGTTGTAGTAACTTTCTGTGAGGGAGCTTTTAGAGGTGGACGTCTGGTTCCCATCACCACCACTGTGAACAGTTCTGACTCTGTAAGTTTCTCTAGAACGGAGCGTTTCACACCAAACCACTCTGAATTACTCTGATTACATCTTAGCCATTTAATTATGCAGTGAGTGGAATTCCACTTTAACTAATATCCTAAGGCTCTCCAATAAATACATATCCCGATTTTTCACATTTTGTTTTCCTTTTAGAACATGGTACTCATAACCTACACACTGTCACAAATGACCACACTGCCGTGTGTTTGGCCTGGGTGAGTATGATGATTTACAGCAGCCTCATTGGGAGCTCTTTGTGCTCAGTGTTACTGACCCTTCCTTTTGTTGTCTTTCAGGCCAGTGCAATCACCAGAGAGCATGTGACTCTAAGCTGTGCAAACATCAGCCATGCCTGCTCTGGTGCTTAGCAGCACTATTACATTAGTCAAAAGTTTCAAGTGTATGTTTTTCACTTCTACAGTGCGCCTCTATTTTATTAAGCACAAAATTATTAATCCTGAAATGACACGGTTCATTCGAGTGGTTGTTTTTCTTGAACCCTTTGGACTACAAGCGTGATCTTGCTCTCTTTTGAAAGCTAACATTAAGAAGTTGTTGTTGTTGTTGAAGAATTATTATATTTACACACCGATCAGGCATAACATTATGAGCACTGCTGTGTCTGATCCACTCGTACCAGCACAACACACACTAACACACCACCACCACGTCAGTGTTACTGCAGTGCTGAGAATGATCCACCATCCAAATAGTACCTGCTCTGTGAGGGTCCATGGGGGTCCTGACCACTGAAGAACAGGGTAAAAGGGGGCTAACAAAGTATCAGAGAAACAGATGGACTACAGTCTGTAACTGTAGAACTACAAAGTGCACCTATATAGTAAGTGGAGCTGATAAAATGGACAATGAGCGTAGAAACAAGGAGGTGGTCATAATGTTATGCCTGATCAGTGTATGAGTAATATATATATATATATATATATATATATATATATATATATATATATATATATACACATATACACATACATACACCAATCAGGCATAACATTCTGACCACCTCCTTGTATACACACACACACACACACACATATATATATATATAGACTGCATGACTATGTGCTTGATTGTATACACCTGTTAGCAATGGGTGTGGCTGAAACAACTGAACCTAATTATTAGGAGGGAGTCCACATACTACTATTTCATTCATTTCTGTTCTGTGGGTTCACTGCTTCACTGTTGGTCAGATGTCTGACTTTTGAATAGAGCTCATTTTGATGAGCTCTGAATGCTCAATGTGATGCTGGACAAAACCTAAAACTATTCCTGGAGGACAGCGCAGTTTGGTTGTGTTTGTAATTTTATGAAAGGGCTTTCAGAACAGCAGACTGATGGTTAATGATCATCAAGTCACATATCTTTAGGATTATTGATCACAATATTGACAGATTATAACAGACTTGTCCAGTCTTACAGTCAACAAAGCAGGAGGTCACCTGATGAAACGTTTGAAGACTGAGACCAGCTGATTAAACGAGCAGACTCAGGTGAGCTCCAGCTTGTTTGGTGTGAAAACCCGCAGCCACACCGGCCTTTTGCGGATAAGATACCCCTGAATTAGCAGCTGCCTGCAAAAAAACAGATGAAAAATATGAAAGTAGAGTGCATAGTTTTCAGTTTCTGGATCTTAATCTTTAATAATAATAATAATGATAATAATAATAAAATACTAATACTATTACTACTACTACTACTAATAATAATAATAATAATTGGAAAAGTGCATTTCCTGATGAAAATA